ACACACACACACACAAAGACATATATGAGCAGTACACAAACACAGACATACCCACTGATTCCAGGAAATGCTTTGGAAATGGTGCCCCTCCCTAAACTTTAATAGACGGTAACTGTAGATGGCAAAGGACAACCTGTCCTCTGTATGACACTTCACAAAAGAACTTAACGAGTCTGAATTGATAGTTTTTCTAAAGCCAAGAGATTTCTTTAATTTTTATTAAAAGAGAATTACTAGAGTCAGTGAGGACCTGATTTCATGGTCAAATGTCTTATTATTTTTTTCCTTTTGTTGGAGTTGAAAAGTGGATTTTGTTAAGGGGCCAAAGATTGTTGCAGCAGAATGTACAGATTAAAAGCCAAATGTTTAATAAGCATTGTGAAAATATTGAATAATACTGCATTATATTTTATTTTTATATGTGGGAATTGAAATATTAAAGTGGTTCCATTTATGTTTAAACTCATCCCAAAGGCACAGTAAACAAAAAAACATGACATGATGAACATCTGTGAAAGTATTTGTTGTATTGGGTGGCAAAACTTTAAATTAAAGGAAATGAAATAGAGCAATGTTTACTCAAAGGCCCAATCCTAACATTATATCTAAATTCATATATATTGTAAAGACGTTGTTATATTAATTAAAAACAGCATTTTGTGTTGGTAAATGTATAATTGATAAAAATACAGTGAAAGATCTTAAGATATTTTTTATTGCTGTGTACAGCCATCACTAATGTACATACAGTGTGTAGGATTTAGTGGCATCTAGCGGCGTAGTTTCATTGCATATCCCTCGCTTCGCACTCCTCTTCAAAGAACGGAGGAGAAACTACGGTGGCCAAAAAATGTGGCCTTATCTAGAGCCATTGTTTGCTTGCGTACCTGGCAGATCAACATGACTGACTCCATGGAAGTGTCATGTCTGTCATAACATTAGTGCTGTTTTATTTTCTAGCCAGTTTTTCTTGTTGTTTTATTTTGTAGTTTCCCTCTTCTTGTGTCTTGTGTTGCTTTACTTTCTCTGGATTTGTTTGCTTTTGTGTACTGGACCTCCTGTGTACCGAACCATCATAAGTAAAGACCCTGTGTCTTCTGTCTGCATTTGGGTCCAACCACTTGTAGTTACATTAGTCTTAACAGTACAAACTGGACATTTATGGACTCAGCAGACAGAGATATGGATTATCAGCTATATGACTTGGTTGCTGCCCTCCAGTGCATTAAAGATGTTTGGAGGAAGGCTGGTTGCACTGAAATTAAAGGAGCAGCTCAGTCTATGGCGAGGAAGGCAGTATCCTCTAAACCTTGGTTTCGGAACGCAATACCTATGTGATTCACGGACTTCTTAATTACCCCTGACCCTCAGTCTGCTTCCCAGCAAGCTAGCCTCCAGCCTGCACCTCAGCCTGTTAACATCCAACATGCTTGCCTCCCGCCATCACCCTGGCCTGTTAGTCTCCAGTCTGCTAATATCCAACATGATAGCATCCAGTCAACTAGCCTCTAGCATGCTCAGTCTACACCTCGGCCTGCTAGCAACCTGCCTTCACCTCAGCCAGTACTCCAGTCTGCCCTGAGCTGGCTTACCGGTTATCTACTCCTATGTATTCTGAGTTGGCTAAACAGCCACCTGTTCCAGAGATTACTGTTTGAGGAGCTGACAAGCGAGTTCCATTGAGGCCACAGAGGGAGACCTCTAGTGTTTAAGTTCCACATGCTATTAATGTGCTCTACTGTAAAATGTTTTTAGACATTGTATATCTACAGTTGAATGACATCAGTGAGGTGTCCAGTGTGGAAATACTTTGCCACAGCAACATGGGTAGGTATGTAAAGCTCTTTTGTTAAGATGTAGTGTACATCTATGTATGATGTGCAAAGCCTGAAGGCCACAGAAAATAGACTTACATTTAAAAGTAAGAAAATGACTGCTGCACTTACACATCTTTGGAGACTTCTGCTGGCCCTGAAAACAGATGAAAAGACAAGATTTGATTAATCTTCATTGTAAAGGAAGGAGGTGTGTGACCTCACTACTAATTAATCCCAGTGTGTTTAACAACCAGCACTGTGAAATAAATCACACTTCAACGCACCTCTTATCTGACTTGTATAGTAGCTCCCTGCTCACTATTTCAGAACATATTGCAGAAATCACATCCTTTAACAGCTAACACTTAAGATGCCACTGACAACACTCCTTTAATTGACAACAGTGAAGGTATGGACCCTCCATTTGCAATGATTTATGAAGGTGTGGTGGTGTCATCTTCAGTGGGCGCCCCATGAGACCAACTGGGAGATTTCCATGGACATCCTCCTGTAATCCGGGCAGTTGAAACAGGAATAAAGCTTCACAAGAGGCAAACCTACTTTAGACCACCTTTATTTATTATATATTATTTTTCATGTACATAACATAGCAAATACTACATTCAGGCTTGGAATATTTGAAGGCATACAAGCCTTCCCCCAAGAAATTATAAACTACAAATTTTTAAATCACAAATAATAGTTTTGAAAAAAAAACATAATGCCACCCAAATGAATTTTCTTTTTAATCAGCATAATGAAGAAACCTTTTAAGTACAAAATATTCATACCAAGCTAATCTGCAAAATGTTCCCTGACAAATTTCATTTGTTTAATATTGCTAATATTTGCTAAAATAGACTCATATAGAACATTTTTCATATTTATGTGTCAGCATTCACAGCACTTTTTAAGGTTAAGGTTCGGAAAAGATCAAGGTCTTACTTTATTTTTTCTTAAATGTAACACTAACTTGAAGCATGAGGTACAACATGTTTACTTTATTAACATTTAACTGACACACAATCGTTTTCCAACCTTAACCAAAGTTCTTTTGTTGCCTAAACCTACCCGAACAGGCTCAGGATGCAAGCCTTAGTCTCTGCTGTCTGGTGTCTCCCTACAAGTTCTGTGCAGTATAAAAACAAAGTGCTGGACAAAGGTTGCCAGTGAACCTAATGACAATTGGACGGCTAAATGAAAACCCTGTTGCAACCTAGATGCAAGATTCACACGTGTAGACTTAAATGTTGAAAGAAGGTAACTACTCAAGTCTACTTTTCTTTTCCTCCCCTACATTTTAAAATGGGTTAATATATTTTCGATTTCACTCTACAACACTTTTCTTCAGCTGTTAGTTATTTTACATCTCAAGATAACATACATTAAACAGTACACAAGTACAGGTTAAACTACCAATCAATTATCAATTAAGATTATAAAGTTGTATCTAGCAAAGTTTCAACAACAAATAGTCTTCTTAAGGTAAAAGATGTATCTGTTTTACCTGAAGAAGATTGTCCAAATGTGTCATGTTTATAGAATACAATAACTGGAAGTCAAATAAGTATAGTATAATAAGTGTATAAGTATTCATATTTCATCTTTTTGTACAAATCACGATTAATGTGCCTCAAGATGATAACCAAAGCTCTATCTATTGCCATTCTTTAAAATGATGCTAGGAATGCCCATTTTTTTCAGTTAATACAGTAACTAATAATTTTAAAAAGAGGTTTTAACACACCTGATGGTAAGAAAGGCTGTATTGATATTCCATAGTTCTATTCTAACCAAACTCACATCGCCATTTTTTTTCTCAATCAAAAAACTTTACAAACATACTTTAGCTTTCATAGAACAGAAAGTCTATCAAAAGTTTTGCATAAAACTTCAAAATAAATTATTATTTTTATGGACAGACATTTTTGTATAATAATACATTTATTATAATTTACATTTCCCATTATCAGACGATAATTTATTTGCCCCTATAATTATCGTAATGAACAAATTCCATACACCACAGCATTTATAGCATTTACTTAGTTTGCAAACCCGCCCCTAGATTGACCTTTACATACATAAAACTCAATAAATTCATACAAATAACACAAGCACTGACACAAAAAATTACCAATAAAAATACCAACTTTTCAATACATGATTTGTATTTCAGCGTAATATGTTTGGAATATTACTTTTTTTTCAGTCAATTTGAGTGCTAACGTTTGCAGTACAGCCACAATAATGGTTTTCAGTATATAGGGTACTTACACTCTCTAAACAATTGGCTTTTTACAGAGGACTGAGACAAGACATACAGTGTGAAATGCCTCAATTCTAAATGACACCCGTTGTGCTCATCGCAATGCTGTTTGACTCTTATGGTGTGCTGGTTCAGCTCATTCTTTGCTGAACCGCAGGCAGCCCACGGAACTTGATGAGAATTGAAATAAGATTATAATACATTCAACTGGAGAATAATCTAACTTCCTGCGTGAACAGAGAGTATCATATTGACAGCAGAAGGGGAACAAAAGCCTCAATTCTGCTCTTCAATTGTTTTTCAATGCCATACTGCATTGTAACACAGTAGAAATGTGTCTTGAAAAGAATAAGATGTAATAGTAAAAAACTGGAGAATCTACATTACACAGTGAATTTCACCCTTGTAAAAGGAATGGAGGGCTTTTTTCACTGTAAACGTTTGAGTCTGCTGACATGACACAGGAGCCTATTCAGTAGCCTGACAAAAGCTCATTCATATCCAAAGGGTCACATCTGGGTGCATAAGACTTGGGATGAGCAATGTGATATAGAGTGCACTGAGGCGGTCATTTGACATTTTTGTATGAATTTAAAGTTTCCTGAAGGGCTTTGGTTGTGGTCATGATTTCATAATCACAAGCAAAAACACTAAATGATAAGATATTACTTTAACCCGCCAATAAAGCAGTATAAAAACACACTATAATGTAGTTATATGTAGGTATAAAGACATTTTTAAGTGTCGATCAATGTTCAGAATTTGTCAACAATCATAACTTCTTCAATAAAGACATAATTTATATAATTACAACTGTGTTTTACACAGTTGTTGACATATTTATTAATAAATTATAGTGTGTTATAATTATTTTGTTTATATATTAATTATAAATGCTGAGTCAAAATATTGTTACCAAATAATGATGATGTATTGGCACAATTGTGTTTTATGTGTTATGTTATACATCCAGATTAATATAATATGTAATAGGAGCAGGAAGTGCTTCAATCTTAATTCTGCAGAAAATAACAGCGAGGGAAACGGTGTCCAGTGTAACTGTGGCCTGGTGTCAGCTAGCATGAACAAATAAGTGCAGCCACTCCACATTTGTCAAAGTGACAGGGTGTCATACGTTTTTGACACTGCTGAACACTGACCTCTTAGAAGGAGAAGAAAAATAAGACCTGCTGCATAGAAAACACAGCTGCTGGCCTTCATAGACAAACATGCCTCATTCACAACAAACTCAGACACAGACAGATTTTGTTTGCCGACAGTTTAACGTTGGAGTTGATCAAATTCGAAGCAAGAGATAGGCAAGAGACAATAGGTTGCATTTCCCGGTAGCTTCCTGTGGCTCTTTTAACATGCCTGGCAAGCACTGATTAGGTACCTGCATGCATAAACACACACACACACA